GTTTGGGTGTGGTCACACCATGCACATCTCGTGTGACACATACCCCTGTTACCAGGGTTCGTGTAACCCCGTTACAACCCGCCCTTTCATACAAGGGTGCGTGTAACCCCGTTACATGAAACTCTTGGAAGTAATAAACCCACTTTCTCTATGCACCAGAAGAAGCGCTCAAGCACTAGGCAGTCGTATGCTCTTGGAAATAATCCACACTTCATTGTTATATATCATGCAATTGACATTCCCCAGGTTAGTGAAGATACGGAGTTGTATGGGGTGGCCACGGGTGGTTGCTCAGGAATGTGTCGATGGATGAAGCGATGCCCGGAACTGCCACTTAAGAATGAATGAATCGTTGGTGGGTATGGCGATTTGTCCAACGGAAAGAATCTATAAGGGAGAGATGTCGACTCTATACGCGCGCGTATGTGTGCTTTCCACGTTATATCTCCAGTTCATAGCTTTTACCAAGCGGTCTGTCTTATCTTTTTGAGACGGCCACCCAAAATGGTATCATGTATCGTACAGTATGATGTACTTAAGGCCCTTTACATGATATGCTACAGTACGTTGAATGTCCAGTAAGTCAGTGCTGTGTCACAGCAAGCTTTGGGGGGAGTATCAACACCGGGATCAAGAAATTCCGCTTATTTCTCCACATCTGTGTTGTAACGGGGTTTCACGTGCCCTGGTATAAAGGGTGTGGGCTTCACAAAACGATGCGACCACACAATGGTGTGGTTACACTTAAACAACAAGTCAATACGTGACTGGAACGCCAGTAGTTTTACGTTTAATTAGGTTTTACTATATAGAAAGGAAAACCTATATATTTAGATATAGGCGGCTTTCAAAACGGAAGAGTTTATTATCCTTGGGTTGAGGTTGTAGTTACTCTTCATGCATGTGAATTGCAATACGCTATACTCGTACTAGTTGTAAGTATAGAACCAAGGTCACCGACGTTAGCCAAACTTCCTTTAAATTAAAAAGCTACGACGGTCCCGCTACATGTATGCTCAGCAACACAAAAGTGTAAGCATCACCATCGTACCCACTGAGCCACAATCCGGTTCAAACACTGTATTAGTGGGAGTATTGGCGTATCTAACCACCGCCAGTTCCTTCGATTTTCTATTACACACATGCCGACAGCATATACTTTTGTCTTGAGGGGTGGGGGCAACCAGTGCACATGATTTGGTCGTTGGATATTTCCAAATCTTGATGATGGAGGAGGACGTTCCTTTGGTGGCTGATGGTACACCGTCTGATATGTTATGGGAATGGTTCGTGATGTCGCAGGGACTACCCAATGCCCCAGCATCGTTAAATCGGTTGGTCTCGTATATGTTTCGACCATTTGGGACGCTTCGCTCAAACATACTATTGCTCACTCGAAGGACGCAGATGGCTGATCTGCCGAAGAAATGCACTTGGCGCACCAATGTATGCGTGAACATTTTTTGCAAGCAAATCTTGCAAGTGTATTTTCGGTGCTAACGAAGTACCGGTCCTCTGTCACTTTGTTGGTGAGCATGGTGTTCGTGCAGACTATGAGAAGGTCAAAGCAATCGTGGAGTGGCCAACGCCACGAAATTAAAAGGATTTGAGGAAATGGATTGGTTTGTCCAATTACCTGCACCGCTTCTCGCGTAACTAAGTGGAAATTGTAAGCCCACTACCAACTTGCTGAAGAAGGACGTACCATGGGAGTGGTCATTCACTTGTGAAGAAGCGTTCACTCAAATCACGATCAGTTTGATGGAAGCAGCGTTACTTGCTTTACCGATGATACGAAGCGGTATAGCGTGGTGTGTGACGCCTCTGGATTTGCTTTCGTTTGTGCATCGTTGCAGAAAGACTCAAAAAGTCGTGTCGTTATTGCGTCAGCTGAAGCCAGCAGAAAAGAACTACCTTGACCACGGCAAGAGGCTTTTGGCAATGAAATATGCCCTGGTGAAGTCTCGTGTTCAGCTCTTTGGGTTTAACTCTGTCTATCGTCTACACGGATACGAAAGCTTGCGTTTCGCAGTTCAGTCGCCTCACTTGTCACAGCAAATGGCTTGCGTCATTCATCGCAGAATATATACGTCATGGTCGCATACAAGCCAAGGAAACTGAACGTGCTGGCAGACGCATTATTACGTCGTCCTGATTATAAGCTAGCGCACATCAGCTATATCGAAGACGATATATTCGATATGATACGTCGAGCGTATGTCTAGGATTAATAGTGTGATTTGATCATTCGAGCACTGTCATCAAATGATATGGTATTCCATGACAAGCTTCCTGGTCGCTTGAAATAATATTGAATCGTAATGCATGGAAGAATGGTCTCCTGTACTATGAAGTTGCACATGACGACAAGCCACGAATTGTGGCTCCCGACAACGATGATTTGAAGTACAAAATAGTCTACGAAGCTCATGATATGCAGATGGCCGGCCACTTTGCAGTGCCCAGCTTTGATGGCCCCACATGTACAATTGGGTTGCACGATACGTAGAGTTATGCGATGTATGTCAGCGTTTGAAGAGCGCATGGCACACGCAAGTGCCATTGCAGAGTTCTTATTGACTTGGAAGTCATTCGGTCTCGACTTCTTTTCGGCTCCCCCGAGGATGCTAATGGTCACAATGGGGTACTCGTCTTTTGCTGACAGACTCAGCGAGATGGATCACGGTTTTCACAATCACGGGTTGCCGGACGCCATCATCTCTGATCGTGATACACGCTTCACAAGTGGCTTCTGAAAAAAATCCGAATTCTTGGCGCTCGATTGGATATGTCCATAGCGTACACACGGAGACCGATGGGCAAACAGAACGAACTAACCGAGTGTTCGTTTTGTGTTGAGAAGCTTCTGTTGGGAAAATCTTGCAGAGTGGAGTTTGTTGTTATCATTGCTTTAGTTTACTATGAACAATTCAGTTCATTCATCCACTGGATTTACGCCATATTCTATGAATGGCTTGCGACACCCGCAATCACGCTTTGTGCGATGGTTGGTGTCTCTGATGTAAGTGGGGGGAGAGCTCGGCAAAATGTTGCCTCCTAAATTGATACAATCAATGCTGCGAATGTGAAGCGCAAGTATAAGGACGACCTAACCTCATAATCATGAGTCGTGCGAATGTGATCACACGGATGCAAAACGCAATGGCGAATGCGTAAGATCTGCAAAAGGAATACGCAGATAGACGAGGTTGTCAAGGCAAACTGTCATTTATTGTGGGAGAACTATGTACTACTTAGAACTAAGAATCTATCAAACGATTCGGTCTCAAGCTTGGGGAGCTCGACGCCATTACCTCTATTCATCAGTCCATTCTGAGTAGTGCCATGCCACGGGAATGCTTGTATTATCGACCTTTCAAGCTGGCTAAGCACCCATCCAACGTTCTACGTAAGGCTCCTCAAACCCTATTATCTCGACGACTGATTTCCAACCTGGATGTAGCGCAGTCTTATTTGAAGATGGATATAAAGAGGCGGCTTCGGCACGATGGCCAAAGCTTGAACCTCTTGGCGTCCTCGTCGCAGCTTCGTCCTCGGGGTGACGAGAATAATCAGGAGCGTTCAAAACAGAGCGAGATCGCTTGGTGCATCATCAGCGGAAGCAGCTGCAGCATGAAGGAGAGCTTGCACATAGTAAAAGCGGATTTTGTTTCAGTTTTAATGAGTTTGAATGTTCCGGGCAGTATGAGCGACGCTAGGGCTAAGAACCAGGATGTACGAAACAGATGTAGATGCCAAATGCAGACGGAACAACATATTGACGAATGGGGAGGAAGGGTCTTAATTAATACAATTGGTCTACGTACACATGCAGTATTTACAATTGTACAAAGGTCTATGTTGCACAATGGCACGTAACTCGTTAACATCAGATTATTATTAAGATAGCTAAGTCGGAACCGTCCTGAAGATGGACCAAATCATCGTTACATCAACTTTCGCATTCTTATTGGTTGTGAAGCGAACTGAAATAATCAATAAGTTTTGGTAGCATTTCTGCACCGACGCTTTAAATTACGTGAAGATTTGCCACAATCACAACGCAACCGTCACTTGATTGCTATCGAAGTAGAATTGTGACTATCGTTGAATCAAAGCACAGCAAGCGAGTAATGTCGTGTAAAATTGTGTCGAGCACTCGGGCACGCAGCAAGTTAGCAGGCCATGGTGTTCCGATTTCTAAACAAGAAACAGCGAGCTTCACAGTGAGAACCGAAGGCATTTTGGAGTATCACTCTTCCATGTCGCTCGAGAATGCAACAATGCCGGCAGAGTATGCCTCATCGTCGGTAAAAACTGAAGCTAAATCAGATGCCAAACTTCAGTGTCTGGGTGCACCAGACGCAAGCGAACTTACATTGGAATGTGTTCTTGCACATCGCTTACGTGTATGGACCAAAGTGACTGAGGTAACATAGAAATCGAGGATGTATTTTTCTTGTTAACATTACCTCCATCATTATACAAGGTAGCTGAAAAGCTAAATTTGATGAGACCGTATCAAGGAGATTTTCAAGCCTTGCAAAAGCTGCAGCAGCTTCATATTTTATGCAATATCCTTTTCAATATTTGATTTCATTCAGATTGACGCGATAACCTTGAACAGTGTCTTTAACCAATGTAGTACAGCAGCGCGAGATACACCTCCGTACCCTTCAGATTACTTTGTTGCACAAACGACTCAACGATCAATGTATGCGATCGAAAGAAAACATGACCTTGTTCAATTTTAACAGGTAAATTGTTTACCGATAGTATCACTAAAGAAGCTAACACAGTATAATACACCTCAGCAAACAAGACGAACACAAAGACATCGACCCCTTAGAAGCTGAAGAGCGAGAAAAGGCTAATAACATCATTGACAATAATGCAATCGACTTGATCAAACTATCAGAACAATGTTGAGCTCATTGACCGACGTACGCGATATTCAGCTTAGAAAGGCTTTCCGTTCATTTCCTCTTTGTCGAAGGGACCATCTAAATCGTCACTTTTAAGCGACTCTCCATCAAAGTCTCCTTCAGCTGAGTCCCTTCCATCCAATGGCTCTCCATCAAGTGCTTCATCTCCCAGAACACCTTCATCTACAAAGCTTCCTACAGTATCGTTTTCTTCTTCGATGGGTTCGCCATCCAGATCTTTATCCAAAAGTGTTTTAACTAAAAACGTGTCTTCTTTCTTCTCTTTGCTTGATTCGCTAAGGTCAATTGATACTGCATTGCTTGAATCTGATTTTAAACCAGCTTGATTGACAGTCACATCGGTACAAACCTGATTATCTGCAGCAATAGTTGTCTTGGAAGAAGCTTGCGTAGTTGGAGATGTGAATTCCTTTAGCCACTGCAACCGCGCTAGCAACTGCTTCACACCCCCAGTGGCTACTATGCCAGACTGTCGGCATGTTTTACGTAGTCGCTCTATCTCTGAATCTGTGATGTCATCGAACCTCAAATTGCGAGCAGCAATGTAGTCGTCTTCTTCCTCTCTACGCAAAAAAGTTGCATGGAGCCCTACTAGCACTGCAGGAGGAAAAAGACTCCAGTTTTCCCACGCTGTCAACACGTTCGTCACCCTTTCTTTCATCGCATTGGCAGACATACGGCCAAGAATATTTTTGTGGGCCATGCGCAAAATATCCATAATTTCAGGTAGGCATTCCTGAAATGTCGTTCGAAAGAGTGAGGCATTCTTTACAGCAGCCGAGCTATTGTACAGAATATCGGACGTCACGTATAACAATCCAACAAGCATCAAGCCCGATGAAGTCGACTCTTTGAATGAGTCAAAAATTATATAAACTAAATCAACCGCGGCCTCGGAATTGTCCAAAGCAAAACCCATCGCTTTCTTCACGGATTCTCGCTCTAATGTCAGCTTCTCAAGCAAATTTTTGAACGAGTCATAGTCTTGATTCGACAATCTACAACGCTCTCTCCCTCTCTTCATGTTACGAGCTCGAGCAATTTGTTGTCCTGTGAGAAGTTGCTCTTCGTTTTCTACATACTCTTGTCTATCTTCACGTTGAGCATCCGAACGCCTTCGTTCTTCGCTTATATCGCAATCATTTTTCTGACGCCATTGGTCATTCTTACGAGATCGAAAGCGGGGGCGGCAATAACGTCTTTTGGATTCCGAAATATCCGATGAACAAGAACGGCTTCGACGATTTCGGCTTCGACTTCGACCACGACATTTGCGAGGACGCCGACGACTTCTTCTTCCCATTTTGCGATCATCAGGGCTTGCTGAGCTACTACGGCTACGATAACGACCTCTACTTCGGCTTTTTCGACTAAGCCTTTCGGGATTCGGGCAAATGCTTCGCGATCTGCTCCTACTGTAGCTTCGACTTCTTCTCTGCCGACTTGAGCGTTTCGGTGATGTGGAAAGAAATTCTTGCCTAAATGATGTAGAAGATGTCTTAGGTGGGTACCACACAGGGCCATCCAGTGTCATTTGAAACGGTTTGCTACGCCATGAGTGCTCGTCGTCTCCCATTGCAAACGAGTAGACTCGCCATCGATAGTACAATCCAATAGCCGAGTCAGGTTTAAAAAGAAACTTGTAGACTTCGTTGTTTGCTTCGCGCATGCGCACAATATTTTCAAATTGGAGTCCATCGCTTGCAACATAGCGAGCAAGTCGATCTACGCGCCATTTGACCTCTTGATCAGTAGGCATCTCGATCTTGATAATCGGTACTTCAGCTGACTTGACAAAAAGGTTGGACACATTAGATGTTGTACGGGGTGGTAAAACAGAATTTTCCAGTATTTTCGATGACACAAGATTGCGAGGCCGAGATGGAACTTTTACAGCTTTGCCCCATCCAACAATCATTGGCTGACCTTCCAACTGCATTATTTACATTAAAGTAAAAAGACAGAAAACCAGCAACTCAATTGATCGTACCTGCTTGTTATCCAGGTTGACGCGTGCTTCGTCAGCGTCACGTCGCTCATAGAAGCTAACAAACCCACAATTTCGCCTACGAGCGCGCTCTTCTTCTGAACGGGGCCACATAATCTTGACTGAACAGACCTCTCCGTAGCGTTCAAATTCCGCCTATTGTCATTAAAGCCCCCATAACATGTTTCTCATCGCACAACATTGCAAAACCTACTGCGGCGCACCTTTAAAACTTCTTCTGTGATAGTGGGAGCCAAATTTCCAACATATAGATTCGTCGTTTCCGGATCTCCAGTATCAAATGAGCCTTTTGACATCCCTAGTCCCTCTACCGAGACAGACACTGGACCTCGCTCCTTCATTTCCTCCAAGAAATCATCAATAGCACGTCGTTTTTTCGGCCTGTTTATTACTTGAGCCTCATCTCTCCGCTTCATCTGTTCGGCATCTTTCTGTTTGATTTCATGCAGCATTTTGTCCATTTCTGACACGTTTCTTTCCAAAACAAATGGAACAGCCTCTTTCTTTCCTTGCAGTCTATATTCAGCTCCTCTCGTCCTTGTATCGCCTTTATCCGCATGCGCACCTGATCGTACAAAAGCTTTGCCTTTTATTTCGTCTTCATTATCAAAAGATGCTACGAAGGTTGCATAAATCCTCGCTGCTTCCTCATCCGCTTGCCGCTTTTTGGCCTCTCGATCTTCTCGCTCCTACAAAAATCAGATTGTCATCAAATTGAGCTATAAATTAGCAGGAAGTCGTCGCTATACCTTTTGGAACTTGGTTTTCTTTTGGTGACCAAGCGCAAAGCGCGCAAGCTTGTCATCTGTGAGAGACATTAATGAGCTTGGCTGCATTTCTGAATTATCTATTCCCCAAGGTAAATTTGTCTGGGGTGGCCCTGCATCCTCTTTCGAGCGTCTAGACTGTCTCCGTTCCATTACCAAGATGGACGCAGTAGTGGACCACTCAATTTTATTCTCTGGTACTAATCAAATATGCTCAAATCGATTTTTATATGCTTTTTATTCGTTTGCCAACAAGACCACTACTGCAACGTGCCGCCTAATCCTGACGCGTCAGCAGCTTCTTCGACGTTATGCCTTTGGGTGTGATAATATGCACAACGGCCCCCCATCCAGAAAGTGCGTCACGGTTGCAAGCTGACAGCAGACACTGGGAGAGCGTCTCAAAAAGGTCACCTTCCTCCATGTCAGGCTTGTACATGGACTCGCACATGCCGTATAATGCCTCCTCCATCGTGCCGGCCACAACAAAGTCTTTGGTCATCATTTCGCAGCCCAGGCAGTCCATACTTGAAAGAAAAGGTTGATTGTCCTCTGTTAAACCTGCGATCACTGGTTCCACGAACCACGGGCCGAACCGCTTCTCGTACATCATGTTGGAAAGAAGTGCACTAAGTGTCTTGGGCTTGATGTCACGCTCCTCATTCATTTGAAACATGTTTATTTTAAACTTAAGTAACTGCGATACGGACTGCACGTCGGTAGCAAGACCCGCCAAACCCAAGAACGTCTTGTCTGTCACACGAAAGACCTTTTGGAAATCCATGGCCACCGTCTGTGCCTGCATTCCAAGCCTTGTATCACTATAGATCATTACAAAATACGTTAGAGCAGCTTGTAAAGCTAGAAGGTGATAGAAACCACAGCATACCATGCAATGCCGACGCAATCTTTGCCAGTCATCGCGATTATTGCCGCTCCGTTGTAAGACAAAATCGACTAATCAAATGATCACATTGACATCCCAGTACAAACTCTTGGGTCAATATCATGTGGAAATAACGAAGCGGTGGCCGCTGACGTACCATGTTCCTCTATGTTCCTCTGGGCGACTTCCGTTTGTATGGGGGGAAAGGTGGATCTTGTGATGTTGCACGATCACTGGTGCAACCTTTGAGACGAAATTTTGAGAAACATTTCCAAGTATCAATGTAAACATCATATCGCATTCTCACAAAAAGCTGCGTATTCTCTCACTTTAAAAACAGCAGTCAAGCGTAAGCGTGTTCACTAATCGCGGTAAGCCTTATTTCTGGCTGCTGATCATTTGAAGATAATAAAGCGAGACACTGTCCGAGTCAGAGAAATTCTTCAGCTAGTAGTGCATGTCGGATGGTGTGATTCACCAACTTAAAATGAACCAACTTGATAAATAGTAAAAAACAGCAAGATCAGTTGAATCACTATTTATGAGATAGTCATTGACAGTATATCAGTCTTGCACTTGGTAAATTATCATCATACAATTAATCAATACTAGTAAGTACAATTCAATGGTTCCTATTCTATACCCAACCTCTGTGTGTTGTATTGAGTCAAAACCTACTCTATGCAAGGTGCACATTACTTAATAGCACTTTGCCGTCTTGAAAAAAATGTATTTTGTGCAAGGTCGCAAGACGGGCTGTTCAAATACTGATCCTCAAGACAGATAGACCCACTTATAAAGCTCGTGTCCTTACTTTGTCCCCAGAAATAACACGCTTTGTGGCGAAAGGGATAGCGATATTTGCTCGGTTACCAGTTATGAGAATGCGCTGGTTGAGACATCGTAGACAGGCTTTGATGCTAGCACAGTCTGCTCCCATCGCAAGGCTGCTTATGTGAAGCCTTCAGCCCTTCGAGGGCACGCATGTAGAAATCTATTCGTGGACAAGAGAGGTTGAGATGTTTATCAATTTGGCCATGCTTCAAACTGAGCATCAACGCATTGCGCTGGCTGTAACGGGGTTTCACGTACCCTGGTAACAG